TCTTCCTTCGTCCCCTCCCCACCCCCCCTGGACCGGTGGTGCCCGCCCTCGCGCTGCACTGGTCTTGACGGCGTTTTGCCACCAATGCCCGCGCACTTGAACAGTTCAGCTCTTGACTTATTGAAGGGGCCCTGGGACACACAAATAAATACACACAGATAAAAGGATCCCCCATATTTTCCAATAGTTTCGGGGTTTATGTCTTCCCCCCACTTCCCATATGTTCCTATATTCTCCTGGGAATCGACGATGAACTGTGTCTGTGTGTGTGTTTTTTCCCTCCTGACTTATGTTGCCCCCATCGCTCTCAACGACCACATCCCAGAACTAATTTCGAGCACCCCAAAAAATATCGAAACGATGTCGAGCGAGTATCGCCTCCCGGGGCCCGACACGTGAAAGCCCTCTATATTCGGTGCTTTCTCGGTGCTCGAACTTTGTTTCTGGTGATCGGGGCTAAAGTAGGTTGGAACATCATAGCTCTTGACTTGTCCGAATCGCATGTGTTACCATGTCCGCCACCGCGCTTGCAGCGGTTGGTGTGCTTCGGGCCCTCTCGTCCTCCGCGAAACCAAAATTAGACCCCCCCGACGCATCGAGCCAAGATGCCCTTGCATGCAGAAAACGGTCCCAAATACGCAGCTTGGGGGGATCCGCCTCGCAGTCCTGGTCAGAAAGCGCTCAAGGAGAAGTCGGGGAATCGGTTTTGAGGAGAGAGGAGGGGAGAGAAACAGAAACAGAGAGAGAGAGAGGAACGGAGGGAAAAGGAGGGAAAACGATACGTACGCCTTGAACGCCATGCTATCCGATTGCCCAGTGCGTGACGTACTACCTCCTCCCTGCAAAAGCGCGCAGCAGTGGCCCCGAATGCTACGCGATATCGACTGCAGCCTGTTGACGCGCTGAGCCTCCGCATTTGCGAGATGGCGCACAGGTCGCCGCGCCGCTCGTTTTCGACGCGCCCCATGTGGACGACGCGGACACCACGGCACGCCCGCGGCAATCTGCCTCGAGGCCGGCGCCGCGCGGCAAACCCCGCTGCAAGCCCGCCGTGCCCGAGGCGGCGCTTGCCCCCGGTGGCCGCGGCGCCCTCTCCGAGACGGGAGAGGCCGCGCGCCGGAGCAAGCGCCGCGGCGAAACGTCCCGTGCTCCACACGCCGGGGCCGGGGACTGCTCTTGGACTGCGTCGTGGACCCACAGGGCCCGTGTGGGGCCCGCGCTCGAGGCGAAGCGAAGCGCTTCCCGTGCCGCACTCGGCGCGGCAGTCCCGATCACGCCACGGCCCCACAGCGCCCCATAGGTCGGGGGGTGCCGAGGGTGCCCCGTGCCCAGAGTGCCCGCTCGGCTGTCGCTCCCTCCGGGAGCCCCTGGGGCCCCCCGGGCCCCGCGACGGGGGTGCTCTGGAGGCCGTGGGGGCCTCCTGGGAGGTCCTGGGGGCACCCTGGGCCAGGGACCCTTCTATTCCAGCAGCTCTCCGCTGGAGGCACTCGTCCGTCCAAGGGGCCGGGAAGCTTCGCGCGCCCCGCTTCTGACAGGCCGGCGCGGGCGAGCCGTGCGCGGCCGCCGGCGCCCGGCGGCGGCGCCCCACGGAGTCTGGGCACCTCTGGCAACTGAGCGGCGCGGCGCAGAGCCGGAGCGGCAAGTTCAGCCTGCGCTGCCCCACAGCGCAGCGCGGGCTGCCCAGGAGGGAGGTGGGACGGTGGCATGAGCGCGGACGCCGTGCTCTGAAGAAAAGGGGGGGGGCCTACTCCTCCAAGGGAGGGAGGCGGGAGGAGGCTGAGGGGGAGGCTTCCTCGCCTCCGTGGGATGGTAGGTCCGCAGGTCGTACACGCAGAGCGTGGACTCGAGCGTCGAGACCCCGAGCTTGTTCATGCGGATGTCCTTGCGGTCGAACTGGAGGTGGCACACTCCGTTCCGCACGTTGGTGTCCCACCTGGGGGGAGGGTGGACGGAGAAGAGGGGGGAAGCGAGGGCGAGGGGTATGGGGGGAAGATGAAGGCAAAGGGAAGAAAAGCAGGGCACGGAGGTGGGGAAGGGGAACCTGGCGCGAGCGGAGAAGCAGGGCAGCGAGGAGTGTCCAGCGGCAGACAGGAGAAAAGAGAAGGCGAGGGCCAGCGAGGGCCCACCGCACCGAGCTGTAAGGCAAAGCTTGCTATCGGGAGGCGGATCACGACGTAAAAGGTGGGAGCGCGAACACAGGAGGAGGAGGAGGAGGAGGAGGAGGAGGAGGAGGAGGAGGAGGAGGAGAGAAAGAGGAGGAGGAGGAGGAGAAGGAGGAGAAGGAGGAGGAGGAGGAGGAGGAGGAGGAGAAGGAGAGAGGAAGGAGGAGGAGGAGGAGGAGGAGGAGGAGGAGGAGGAGGAGGAGGAGGAGGGAGAGGAGGGAAAGGAGGGACGAGGAGGAGGGAGAGGAGGAGGGACGAGGAGGAGGGAGAGGAGGAGGTGGCAGAAGAGGGATGGATGAGACAGAGGATGCGGACGCGAGGATCTCAAGCCGCTACTAGTGCTGGTCCAAGTCCTGCTGCTGCTCCTCCTCCTCCTCAACTGCTCCTTTTATCGTCCCTCCCACCTTCCCCTCCTTTCCTCTCCTCTTCCTCTTGCTCCTGGTTTCTCCCCCCTTCCCCTCCTCGTCCTCGTTCTCCTCGTTATCCTCATCTTCGTTCTCCTCATTATCCTCGCTCTCCTCTCCCATTCCCATCCTCGTCATCGTTCTCCTCGTTCTCAAGCTCTTCCGAACACCTCTGGAAGCATCCGGAAACCTACGAGAACCGCCGTCGCAAACAAAAAACAACGGAAGACCAGCAAAGCACACACCCCACAGTGTTCGAAACCACCGAGAGACCTCCGAAGACTTCCAGCACCAGTGGCCAACCTCCGAAACCCTGCCACCTCAGCGTCATCGTCCGCAGATCGAACAGCTTGACGTCCCCGTTGTCGTAGCCCGCGGCGATGCAGCGCTCCGAGTCGTTGTACGAGTTGCCGAAGGCGACCGTCCAGCAGTCCGCTGGCGTCTCGCCCTCCGAGGGGTCCCCCCCAACGCCCCGCCCCCCTGAGATCAGGGCGTTGCAATTTTCACCCCAGGCGATCTCGTCCATTTTCGAGCTCTGGGATCATGACAGATTGATCCAGCCCGACACATGCCGCAGAAATATTGCGCCTAGACCTCCATTCGCGACTTTCTGCGATGCTGCACTTTTGTTCGCTGCGTCGGATCTTAAGGCCTCCTCCGCCACCGCCCCCAGTCCCCACCTCACCTACCCCACTTCCTTCCCCCCTCCCCGGTCCCCTCTCCCCGACCTCCTCACCCTCCTTCCCGTGCGATCACGTGCGAGGCCAGAGCCAAGCCGACTGCTATTCTCCTTCCTTCAAGGCCCTCCCCTCCCCCCCTTCCCCCACCCACCCTCATCTCCCGTCTCCGCCCCTTCAACCATTTACAGCCTTCCCCCGTCACTCTTGCCCCTCCCGCCAAGACCCCAGAGGAGAAGGATGGGAAGTAGGGGGATGCAAAGAGGAGGCCAAAGAGGAGGAGGAGAAAGAGAGGAGGAGGAGCAGCAGCAGCAGCAGCACCAAGAGTACGAGGAGGAGGAGGAGGAGGCAGAGGAGGAGGAGGATGAGGTGGAGGAGGAGAGGGAAGAGAAGGATGAGGAGGATGAGGAGGAAGAGCAAGAGCATGAAGAAAAGGAGTACTAATAATGATGAGGAGAAGATAAACAATGATAACACAACTAAGAAACATATCAAGAAAAACAGCGCGATGGTCAGAGGAAGGTTAAATGAAACAGCAACAACTTAAATCGGACCCCTTCCCAGGGTCCGATCGCACAAGTTGTCCGAGCTGCTTCCAGCCGCGGCGACAAAGCCCCCACCCGAAGACCAACCACCGTTGTCTTAACACGCCGTCCTCTTCGGGGGCCAAGGGAGCAGGAGGAGGCAAAGGAGGGGGAGCAGTAGAAGTAGTAGTAGTAGTAGTAGTAGTAGTAGTAGTAGTAGTAGTAGTCGTAGTAGCAGTAGTAGTAGTAGTAGTAGCAGTAGTAGTAGTAGTCGTATTCGTATTCGTAGCCGTAGTCGTAGTAGTAGTAGTAGTAGTAGTAGTAGTAGTAGTAGTAGTAGTGGTCGTAGTAGTTGTAGTAGTAGGAGCAATAGTGGCAGTAGTCGTAGTCGTAGTGGCAGTAGTCGTGGCCGTAGTAGTAGTAGTAGTAGTAGTAGTAGTAGTAGTAGTAGTAGTAGTAGTAGTAGCAGTAGTAGTAGTAGTAGTAGCAGTAGTAGTAGTAGTCGCATTCGTATTCGTAGCCGTAGTCGTAGTAGTAGTAGTAGTAGTAGTAGTAGTAGTAGTAGTAGTAGTAGTAGTAGTTGTTGTAGTAGTAGTAGTAGTCGTAGTAATAGTAGTAGTTGTAGTAGTAGGAGCAATAGTGGCAGTAGCCGTAGTCGTAGTGGCAGTAGTCGTGGTCGTCGTCGTAGTAGTAGTAGTAGTAGTAGTAGTAGTAGAAGTAGTAGTAGTAGTAGTAGTAGTAGTAGTAGTAGTAGTAGTAGTAGTAGTAGCAGTCGTAGTAGTGGCAGCAGCAGCAGCAGCAGCAGCAGCAGCAGCAGCAGCAGTAGTAGTAGTAGTAGTAGTAGTAGTAGTAGTAGTAGTAGTAGTAGTAGTAGTAGCAGTAGTAGTAGTAGTAGTAGTAGTAGTAGTAGTAGTAGTAGTTCTAGTCATAGTAGTAGTCGTAGCAGTAGTAGTAGTAGTAGTAGTAGTAGTAGTAGTAGTAGTAGTAGTAAAGGTGAAAGTACTAGTAGTAGCAGCAGCAGTAGTAGTAGTAGTAGTAGTAGTGAAAATGCGAATAATAGCAATCGTCGTCGTGATACTAGTAGTAGTAGTAGTAGTAGTAGTAGTAGTAGTAGTAGTAGTAGTAGTAGTAGTAGTAGTAGTAGTAGTGGTAGTGGTAGTGGTAGTGGTAGTGGTAGTGGTGGTGGTGGTAGTAGTAGTAGTAGTAGTAGTAGTAGTAGTAGTAGTAGTGGCGGTACTGGATACGGTAGTAGTAGTAGTAGTAGTAGTAGTCGTCGTCGTAGACGTAGTCGCCGTCGTCGTGGTCGTAGTAATGGTAGCTGTAGTAGTGGTAGGAATAGTAGAAGTAGTCGCAGTTGTAGTAGTAACACTAGTAGTAGTAGTAGTAGTAGTAGTAGTAGTAGTAGTAGTAGTAGTGGTAGTAGTAGTAGTAGAAGTAGTAGTAGTAGTAGTAGTAGTAGTAGTAGTAGAAGTAGCAATAGTAGTAGTAGTAGCAATAGTAGTAGAAGTAGTCGTCGTCGTCGACGTCGTCGTTGTGGTCGGAATAATCGTAGTAGTAGTAGTAGTAGTAGTAGTAGTAGTAGTAGTAGTAGTAGTAGTAGTAGTAGTAACAGTAGTAGTAGTCGTAGTAGTAGTAGTAGTCGTAGTAGGGGTAGTATGAGTAGTAGTCGTAGTAGTAGTACTTATAGTAATCGTAGTAGTAGTAGTAGTAGTAGTAGTAGTAGTAGTAGTAGTAGTAGTAGTAGTAGTAGTAGTAGCACTAGTAGCAGAAGTAGTAGGAGTAGTAGTAGTGGTGGTGGTAGTAGTAGTAGTACTGGTAGTAGTCGTAGTCGTAGTCGTAGTAGTAGCAGAAATAACTGTAGTAGTAGTAGTAGTAGTCGTAGTAGTAGCAATAGTGGAAGTAGTCACGGTCGTAGTCTTAGTAGCACTAGACGTAGTAGTAGTAGTCGTGGAACTAGTAGTACAAGTAGTAGAACCCGGTGAAGTAGCACTACTAGCGGTATTACTAATAATATTAGTGATCGTGGTATTAGAGAGAGCGTGATCCACCGCCGCTTTACTGTGGAAAATTGCCAACCTTTTCCTCTGGAACCACGGGGGTCCCCCCCCCCCCCCCCCCTACGAAAATCCCCCCCCCCCCCCTGCGGCACCCCTCCCCACCCCCCCCCCCCTCCCCGGCAAAACCCCCCCTCCCTAACCCCTCCTCCCCCCCCCCCACCCTCCCGATCGGAAAAACCGGGGGGGGGCACTACCGGTTCGAACCCCTCCCCCCCCCCCCCCCCCTCCGGATCCGGAACCCGGGGGGGGTCACTACCGGTTGAAAACCCCCCCCCCCACCCCCCCCCCCCCCACCCCCCCTCCCACGCACCGCCAGCAAACGACTCCCAGTCCCTACCACCGCTCGCATCACATTCCCCACTGTTGTTCCCAGCACCACTGTCCTCACCACCACTGTCCCCACTGGTTCCACCACCGTCCCTATTGTCCCCACCAATGCCCCCACCACTGTCGCACTGTCCCCACTGTTCCCACAACTGTTCCCACCACGGTTCCACTCTCCCCACTGTCTCCACGAACCCAACCACTGCCTATCCCCATTGTCCCCACTGTCCCACTGACTCTTCCGCTGTCCCACTGAGCTGTCCCACTGTTTCCACCACTGTCCCCACTGTCCCCACCACTGTCCCCACTGTACCTCTGTCCCATTGTCCCACCGCCGTCCTCGCCATCGCCTTCACCACTGTCCCCACCACCATTGTACCCTCCACTGTCCCACTGTTTCCACCTCATCCCATTGTCCCCACACCACTGTCCCCACCACCACCGTCACCACCACTGTCCACTGTCCCCCCCTGTTCCCACCATTGTCCCCACCACTGTCCCCACCACTACCGTCCCCACCACTGTCCCACGGTCCCACTGTCCCCACCACTGTCCCGCTATCCCCTCACCACTGTCCCCACCAACACCGTCCCCACCACTGTCCGCACCCCCACTCGGTTTTCGAGGGAGGGGGGGGTTCGAACCGGTAGTGACCCCCCCCGGTTTTCCGGATCCGGAGGGGGGGGGGGG